GTCCTGCCAAGAATGTGAAAGACTCCAAATTAAAGCAACATGCTTTGCCAAGGCTACATTTTCACAACTACATGAACGTTTGGCTCATAAAGCAGATCCCAAAATCCCCAAAGTTTACGCGATTTATAGAATATGTGATCATGAATCCAGTTCAGGGACTAAACCTGAATTATCACTTTTTCCCCCCACTGTTCTTGTTTAAAACCCAACCTGGAGTTGTTAATATTCAATATATAAAAGTTTTTTTTTTTTCAAACTGTCTTTCTAAAACACAAAACAGGAACAGTGGTGGTAAAAATCAATCTGTGTCTTCAAAAACCAAACTCCAATAAACCTATCAAAGTCATGGTTCAGACGGTGGATGATGAAAGTCAGTGGTAACAGGTGACGACAGAATAAGTCAGCAAAACAAAGTAGCTTGGGACCAAAGTTACTTCCTCTCCTTCTTAAAAGGTGATTACAGCAAAGAGGAGTTTTAAATAAGAAGCCACATTAACTTTAAGTGCCTGCTGTCACCCGAGACACAAATATCTTCTCCCCGTGTGTCTAAAGCACTCAGCAGTGAGTTAACAGTAGCCTTTGTAATCTATGATATTTTTAATCTAATATGTCATTATGGCCACTTAACACACAGTCGAGCTCACACTCTGCAGCTGAAGCCTGATTATTTATGTCTGCTGCTCTAGAGGGGGCATGATTTATGGAATAAAATGTGATAAAAGGGGCAAACCGTGTTGAGACTGGAGAGAGTTCCTCCACACATGTTGGAGGAATTTGATGCAGATAAAAAGGATAAAAAAGCACTGGTCAGCAGACTGGAGATGCATGTTATTATTATTTTTTTAACTCTAGAATTTAGTTTTAATCAGACTTTGAGTCTTTATGATCCTTTTGTTTAAAACGTATTGTTTGAAAAAATTCTTCTCCACTAAATTCCTTGTGGTTGGAGGGAAAACAATCCTAATCCTAAAACTTATATAATCCAAATTTAAGAACAAGGGTGATGTACAGGCTTGTATCAACTACAGGGAAATTAAGTTGATGAGGCACAAAGTGAAGATCTGGGAGAGAGTTGTGGAAGCAAGACTTTGACGAGAGGAGGTGTGGTATTGCATGAGGAAATCTGGAGTGGCAGAGAAGTATGTTAGACTGGTACAGGACATGTATGAGGTCAGCAGGACATTGGTGAGATGTGCTGTTGGAGTGACAGATAGCTTCAAGGTGGATGTAGGAGTGCATCAAGGATCGGCTCTGAGCCCCTTCTTGTTTGCTCTATGATGTTTGCAGATGATATTGTGATCTGTGGCGAGAACAGGGAACAGGTGGAAGAGAACTTGGAGAGGTGGAGGTATGCACTTGAAAGAAGAGGATTGAAAGTCAGTCGTAGTAAGACAGAGTCCATGTTTGTGGAGAAGGAGGAGGTGGAACAGTGAGGCTACAAGGAGCAGAGGTCACAAAGGTGCAGGACTTCAAGTACTTGGGGTCCACTGTCCAGGAAAAATGGAGAATGTGGTAAAGAGGTGAAGAAGAGAGTCCAGACAGGATGGAGTGGATGGAGAAAAGTTTCATGAATGATTTGTGTCAGCAAAGGTCAAATGAAAAGTTTACAAAACCGTGGCAAGACCAGTTATGTTGTATGGTCTGGAGAGAGAGACATGGACAAAAAGACAGGAGACAGAACTGGAAGTAGAAATGAAGATGATGAGGTTCTCCTTAGGCGTGACAAGGATGGATAAGATTAGGAATGAGATCATCAGAGGTACAGCACAGGTTGAACAACTGGGAGACAAAATTAGAGAGACCAGACTGAGATGGTTTGGACATGTCCAGAGGAGGGACAGTGGTTTGGACATGTCCAGAGGAGGGACAGTGGTTTGGACATGTCCAGAGGAGGGACAGTGGGTGTATTGGTAGAAGGATGTTAGAAATGCAGCTGCCAGAAAAAAGACAAAGAGGAAGGCCAAGGATTTGTACATGAGTCTTCGAGGCTCAATGTAGTTTATTTGTATAAATAAAGGTTGAACAAAAAGAGAAGATCTATAGATGCCATTAGAGAGGACATGGAGGTAGTTGGAGGGAGGACAGAGGATGCAGAGGACAGAGTGAGATGGAGGAGGATAACTCACTGTGACAACCCCAGAAGAGAGAAAAGCTGAAAGAAGAATAAAAAAGAAGATATTGTCATGTTTCTGATGATGATGATGATTTCTAACCTCCTGTGTATGACCCCTGCCTGTTCTACCGGACCTCGTTTCTGGATCTGCCCCAAAGCCTCTTGCTGCACAAATTTCCTGCTCTGCTGCGTCTCACTCACCGCAGGCGGCTTCATCTTTCTCTGCCTGACTGTGAAGCTTAGTGTCTCTATTTCTCTGAGAACCTTCACAGTCAAACCTACGAGACTAACACCTCTGTCTCTACGTATCCAAGCCATCCACGGACCCAGACCTCCACCAGCAGTTCTGCCTGTTTGGTGCCGTTACTGAATCCAGAACCTTGTCAGATATCATCAAATTTACTTTACAGAGGCCTGAAAATATATAAAATGTTCTTTCCTCGAGATGTCATAGATTTTGTAATGTGCACCAGACCTTCCAGCAGCAAAATATTCCCACACAGCAGGATGCTGCCACCCCTGCACTCACAGTTGGGAAGGTGTTTTCAATAAAAAAACAAATAAGGATAGTTGAAAAGCAAAATAACTAAACTTCTGTGGATGTTTTTCTTCCTGTTCAGGAAGTTTTCTCAATTCAAAAACTGGGTAATGTGGACTTCCAATCTTTTAAACTGTGTGAGATACTCCGGTGTGTAAGCTAGAATCAAATTCAGATTAAACTCATTCCCCCCACAGTGGAGTCATTGGGGTCTTTGTTAGTTTGGCTCGCAAGATAAATGTTAAGGCACATCCATGAAGGTGTGAATTAGAGTGGAGCAGATTGAGAGTCAGACATAATGTTACATTATGAAGAAGTTAACTCAAATGTTGCCAACTAACCTGTCAACAGCTTTCAAAGCCATGACATCATCATTTGGGCTTTCCCAAATAGTTCAAAGACACAGTACTGCCACTGTGAAAGTGATGTTCTAATAGTTTGTGCTTTAGCAGCTGACTTCAGGCAGAAATCAATGAGAAAAAAGCAAAAGTTTTCAACCAAAGTCACGTCTTATCATGTTTTAGGCTTCTAAAACAACTCTTTCATAAATGCTATTTATCCATCCAGGTGTTCATATCCAGCCATCACTGTGTGAGAGGCGGAGGACATCCTGGACACGTCTCCAGTCCATCACAGGGACGCATAGAGACAAACGAGCAATTTAGAGTTACCAATCAGCCTAACATGCATGTTTTTGGTCTGTGGGAGGAAACCGGAGTACCCGGAGAAAACCCACACACGCACGGAGAGAACAAGCAAAGCTGCACTAAAAGAAACTTGTAACTGTTTTTTTGTTTTTTTTGTTTTTGACCAGTTGTAAAATAAATTGCTACTCCTGATATCTTTCATGTTTTACACCATTTTATTCTATTTATATTAAATTAGTTATTATTTTACTGACACCGTCTTCTGTTGCACTGGAACTTTTTTTATGGTTGTTCTTTGTTTTTTGCCACCATCGTCTCCAGGACTCCCTGAAATAAAATATTATTTGTAATGTAAAAATAAACATTACTCACCTCATCTATGGCCATGAACTCTGGGAAGTGAGCGAAAGATTTCAGGCAGTCCAGATGAGTTCTCTGCAGCTGAACTCTCCCTTATAGAGCAGTGGTTCTGGGTCTCAAGGAACACCATCCTGCATGTTTCAGTCGTTTCTTTGCCCCTGATTCAGTGATTTAATTACTTCAAGTTCTGCAGAATACTGTTAATCACCTTCAAACCAGGTGTGTCAAAGCAGGAAAATAATTAAGACAGGCAGGATAATGTTCCTCGAGGACCACGGTTGGGAACCACTGCCTTAGAGATTGAGAGAGGAGTTCAGTTATAGAGCCGCTGCTCCTCCACATCCAGAGGAGCCAGCTGAGGGGAAGACCCAGGACATGCTGAAGAGACGTCTCTCAGTTGGCCTGGGAACGCCTTGGGGTCCTCGGAGCTGGAAGTGGTGTGGAAAGAAATGTCTAGATCTCCCTGTTAAACTGCTGCTCCTGTGACTGACTCCAGAACAAGCAGAAGAGGATGGCTGGCTGGCTGGCTGGCTGGCTGGCTGGCTGGCTGGCTGGCTGGCTGGCTGGCTGGATGGATGGATGGATGGATGGATGGATGGATGGATGGATGGATGG